AACGGGCAATTTTCTTTTGGTATTTAATAATATGGTTATTATTCACTTAAAATTTATTATTTCTATTTATTTTTATTTAATACATTATAGAAAATTTTTTATGTTTTATTAGTGATTAGCAAAATGTCTCTAACTTTACAAGTTTTTTTTTTGAAATAACCATCTAACAATAAAAAAATTTTTTATTACTATATGATTGTATATATGCTGGAAATTCTAGTTTTTGGTGTAGCTGCGTGAAGCAAGTGATTTAAAAGAGGTTCGGGAATTATTTATCCTCGCCGATCATTATATAAAATCACATGACTACACTCTACCCTTAAGCATTTTTAAATGAATAAATAGCAATAAAAAATGTTTTTTTTTACCTAGATTTTTTACTAATTTGAATTGAAATATTGAATTTTAAAAAACATCTTGTATTTATGATATTTTTATCAATAAGCATCAATGACATTATTCTAGTATAATAAATAAAAATATATTTGTTTATTTTTGGTTATTAATTATACCTGAAACCATCAATGATTTATTGTTAACAAAAATGGAATTTTTGAAAATAGAATTATACTCAAAAACATCAATAAAAAATGGAATTATTCTAATATGTTTGTTAATAATAAATATTAATTAATATATGTATATTAATTATGGTTGGCTCGGTCTAAAGACCTCCTATCGCTGCGCCACTAATTCAAATTTCAAAAATTGCGATTTCGTTAAAAAATTATTTTCCTTACTGCCAAATTTAGATATGATGGTCTATTACATTAAAACTAAAGACCTTTTCTATAAACTAATAGAGCTATTTTTTTAAAAAGTGGGACAGAAAATGACTTCCATACTTTTAAAATTTGACCAAAATTTAGGAGATCTTTAGACCAAGCCAACTATAATTTTTTTTCAATTTGTTACACGAATTTTTCTGCACAAATCCTGCTAATAGATTATTAGCTACCTTTAATGTAACACACGCGCCTGCATTCAATTTCACGTACTGCCGAATAACCAAAATTACCGCATAATCCATCACTTTTAAACAATATTTCACGAAAGGTATTTAACAAAAACACTTTTTTGCAACTTAGGTTTGCCAAATTACATATGTAAAATTTCACATATCTAACATATTTATTAACTAAATAATGATAAATATGCACATTAGTTACACGGATTTGTTTAACATTATGTATGATATTTTGAATTGACCAACTATACATGTATATCTAAATTTTTAATGATTATTTTCTGACAATTGGCGGTCGCATGATTTTTTTTTGTTAATTTCTTGGTCACGTGAATTATCTAAAAATTTGCCACTGATCGGGACTAGATGACTCGAGCCGCACTAATACCAATAAATATTAGATTTTCAAAAAAAGACTAACCAAAATAAATTGATCAGACTTTCCAACATATGTACATACCTAATCTGTGGCAAATAAATTTATTTAGTTAGCCACAATTAGTTTTTAATTTTAGCCACAATGAAATTTGAAAAACCAACTAATTTTTTGTTTTTTAAAATTTGTAAATTTATAATTAGTCAAGAGAAAAGACAAAAGAAAGGTATTGGTACAGGATAATGTAAATATGGGGTTTTTTTAAAGGCAAATTTCTTTTTTTTTGAACAGTTAATGTGGCTTAGAAAATATTTATTTATATTATTTCCCACACCATTCCTAAGCCACATTAAATATTGAGAAATATATAAATATTAAATTTTTCAGTGCCTTTATTTTCTAAGAAATCCAACCAGTACTAGTAGTAAAAGAAATCGGTCACGCTTTTTACTTTAAATTTAAACTTTTGTAAGATATACAAAAAATATATAAATTCTATTCTATGTAAATTTCAAAAAAAAAAAAATGCCAAGTCACTAACAATGCGTTAATATGTTTGCCCGTAAATGCCGAAATGTTTTCATTGAAGCCACATCAAAGTGGCATGGATAATAAATATTTGGTACGCATTGTTTATAAATAAATAAAAGGATGATTTCTCTCCATTATCTCTACTTGTAATTACTTGTAAAATCAAATTAATTTCATGGCCACTTGGATAGCTCAGCTCCATTCATTAACCTTTTTAAAGAAAAAATAGGAGTCGAATAAGTAAAAATTATATATATATACAAATATAAAATATCTCCACATTTAATGGATCTTTTTTTTTGATCGTTTTTTTTTTTCATTATAGAAATTAAAATGACTTGTGTAACAATATGTGAATTATTTACAGTTTTACGCGAGTTTATTGCATGTAAATCAGATTGTACAATATTCGATTCTAACACTATACATCCAGAAAAATGTTATAGAGAAAAATTAGACTTATCATCATCATCATCAGCAGTAACTACAAATACAACAACATTAACTTCTGCAACATCAGTGACATCAATATCTACAACAGTCACTGATGTTGCCATTAATCATTCAAAAATACAGAATCAAATAATAACCAAGTTGCCAATTGAGATTATAATAGAAATTTGTAAAGGTGTTTCACCATACGATTTATACAATTTATCAACCGCATGTAAATATTTTCGTAATTTATTGTGGTCAAAATCTGATGCAACCCAAATAATTTGGAAAAAATCTAGAATCAGTTTTTTGAAATATCCAGAGTTGGATCCACCATTCGGCTTAACTGAGCAAAAATACATTTGGTTGACTTTATTAGCAGATAAATGTCAATTTTGTGGTGGATCTTACGAAAAATTTTATTACGAGATTTGGCCTTCGATGATTATTTGTTGTGGAAACTGTTTTGGCGAAAAAACTATACAATTATCGTGAGTATATATAAAATAAATATATGTACATATATATATAGATTAAGAGTGATTAAACTAAACTAATTTTAAATTAATTAAATCAAGAATACGTAATCCGCCATCATCAATTCCAAAAGAAGTATTTTCGCTTATTCCTTCAACAAAATGTTTTAACCCATCAGTTTTCTATCAAAGATTTTATTGGAAAACTGATATAGAAAACATGACAGAAATTTTAAATGGTTTTGATGATGAAGATCTAAAAACATCTTGGATAGCTGAGAAAGAAACTGAACTCAGGAATATTTTACATGATATGATACCTTATCAAAAACAAGAATTTCAACAGTTATTTAGCCATGGAATTAAATCGAATAAATAAATTAAATTTTTGTTTATTTTATTTATTTATTTATTTTTTATTTTGTAAATAAGAATTTATATATTTATTTCTATTATAAATATGAATAAGGAAACAAAAAAATTTTTGTATATGATTATGTTTTTAAAAAAAATGGCAAATTAATTGGCAAGATGGCAAAATTTTTTTTAATATTTTAAGATTATTTAATATTAATATATAATATTAAGTAAATTAAGTTTTTTTTTAATTTATTATGTATAATTAATTTTTTTTTTTAATAAATAATAAATCTTTTTTATAAAAAAATAAAATAATGTAGTAAGGCTTTGTTCTGGATTTGTTCTTGTGTATTCCCAAAAATATTATTGTTATTAACTATTATTATCATTATTATAACCATTTTGGATGATTAATAGGTGGAGGCAATCTAACCAAGTCAGTATCAAATAATTCAATAAATTGTTCATTTAAAACTCTAACTTT